CGTATAGCTCAGAGGATATTTCCTCGACTTCAACAACTTGTCTCTCCTCATCCATTTTTTGACACGCACGAAAGATAGCAGCAAGAGGTGAGGAGAGTTAAGGTGGAGCTGCTGTGGGAACTGGAATGTACAAGCAGAGAGTGAGTGGGCAAAGAAAACATGTTTTTCAGGGATAGCGAAGCTGGAAATAGGACAGTGCTGTGAAGTATTGTGGGGTGGTGCATCACAAGCATGGGGTTGTACAAAGAAAATAATAGGGTTGGGTGCTTTCACGCACCTGGTGGCGATGTGTTCAGGGCTTTCCAATGTTTAGTACTTGACCTGATTACGTGTCGGATTTTCATGAAGTTAAGTCACATTTCCTGTATGACTGGAATGCAGCATGGGACAGTAAATCCATGGACTGAGGGTACGCTCAAGGCCTGTCAGGAGGCTTTGGCTTTATTTCCTGTTTTCAAGCAGAGGAGGGAGGGAATCTGAGAACATTCTAGACAAAGCACTTAATGACTATATTACAGATAGTGTGATGACCAGTAAGCTTTTCCCTCACATCCCTGCAAGAGTCACACCCATCTAAAAACAAATCAGCTGAGCGGTCAGGTTGTTGTTGCAGCAGGCAGGATTGGTTTCAGTTCAGACAGCTGCTGGCTGCTGTTTTTGCTACAGAGGCTACCAGCCTGCTGTCACTCCCAGGTCTGGGCTCAGGCCACCACAGCAGATACCGGCTTTGTTTAATGATGGCTCAGAAGCCGTTGAACAAACCATTCCACTGTGTAAGGATGCAATGCAGGGATAAAAAAAAATTGAAAGTTTGGGATTTGATTTTCTGACATAAAAATGGTCATCCTTGTTAGAATGTGCACAGCTGTAAGCTAAACATAAGCTATGAGTAGCTTTACACTGAAAACATCAGCTTTGAAACACTTGTATCAGTCCAACCCGACACTCCCCCTCATCCCTTAACATGTGATTAAGACATCTTTGATTCAAGTCAATATCAGGTTGAATTCTGATGAGTGGTCAGGAGGGCAGGAACCTTCCTCTGCTTCTCCAGCATAAACTACCATCACCAGAAGTTCATGCCACAAAAACCACCAATCAAATAAATAAACAAGGCCACAAACTGAACCAGGCTCTTGTCATTTTTCCATGGCTAACAGCACATAGCAAACAAATGATTCAATCAGTAAAAAGGAGGCTTTCTCCATCTGTGGCCTGTGTTCAGGGTTGTTGTTGGGCAACAATCACTCACAGAGACAGAGGACGACGGAATTATCTTGGTGTTAGACCAACCCTGAGATGTTTGTTGTGTTTATACGTGCAGTTTTACCTGCCATTTGAGGTCCCGTGTGTGTGTCACGCAGTGGAAGGCCATATAGGCAAAGGGTGAGCTTCAGTGTTGAAGACATACTGGTCTAGGCTAATGAGGTTGTGGTCGTCTGAGAAGAGCAGGTACAGATATTTCAGGGTCTCTCCCAGGAAGAAGCTCTCCATCTTGTCCCGAGGGCTTGGGTACTCTGGGTCCCGCACGTTATTGATGGAGGTGTAGCCGCCAGAGGGAACCTGAGGGGAAACGCACAGGGATTTGTCCACATTCATACATCCAGTCACTGTATTTTAGAACATAACTAGAATTAAATTTTGTCATAATTAGCGTATGAATTCCTGGGTTATGGCCAGAAACATCTTTTGTGAGGTCACAGTGCTTTGACCTTTGACTGTCAAATTATAAGTAAGTGCTTGTGCCAAATTTGAAGACATTCCCTCAAACTGTTCTTAAGATATCACATTTACAAAAAAAGACAGATGCAAGGTCACAGTGATCTTGATCTTTGACCACCAAAATCTAATCAGTTCCCTGCCGAGTCCAAGTGAACAGTTGTGCCAACTTTGGAAAAATTCTCTCAGGGCGTTCTTGAAATATCACATTCACAAGAATGAGACAGACAAGGTCACAGTAACCTTGACCTCTGACCGTCAAAAACCAAGGTCACAGAGACCTTGACCTTTGACAATCACAAACTAATCAATTCATCATTGAGTCTAAGTGGACATTTGTGCTAATTTTAAAGATCTCCTCAAGGCGTTCTTAAGATATCACGTTCAAGGGAATGGGACGGACAGACGGACGGACCAACCGAAAACATAATGCCTCCGGCCATGGCTATTGCCAACGCGGAGGCATGAAAATGGTTATTTAGTTTTAGTTTTAGTTTACTGACACTGAACATACTAACCACTTGTGTCTGTATCTATCTTGTATCTAAGTTTGTCACTAGAGAGGTGATTTTCAGTGTTAGTTTCTTTAATGAAAACTATGACAAATGTTAGTCAACCTTTTTTTTCATGATGAAGACGAGAAGATGTAAATAGTAAAACTTTTTTTTCTATTAAGAAATGTATGTTTTTTAATTTTACACTGACAAGACAAAATGGGACTAATGGTTAATGGGTGGTCTATCAGACATTTAAAAGGAAACGAGAGGAGAACCTGATCATAAATTATTTCATTAAATTTACCTTAAAACGTTATAAACCTGGACACCAAAAACAGCGGTGCTTGCAAATTTTTTCTAATGCTGTTATAAGTGGTGTGAGATCAGAGTGCTGATGGGCTTTGAACTCCAGTAAATAGTCTGTGTCATGTTACACTAGCCAACAAAACAAGAATAAACCACCATTTGTGTCTGGCTGTGCATGGTGGAGCTGTTTGTTTGTTGGTTGCAATGTTGGCTGTTTGCAGCTGTAGCTAACACTGTAAAAGCTCCACACTCCAGCTTTAATGAGTTAATTAGATTCAGACAGATCAGGGTATACAGCTTTCATTTTACTGACCTTGGTGTACTTGTTAAAGTTTCGGAGAATCTCCCAGCCCCACTCCTGGTACTTGTGGTCCTTGGTAAACCTGTACAGGTAGAAGAGACTCTCCACCGTCTCTGGTCGCAGGAGGTTGTGCCTGTCTGCAAGCTATCATCACGGTGAACACAAAATTTAGTTTTGACTCTTTCAAAATCCTTGCAGAATTATTTACTGTCACATTGTGCTGATGTTCCTGTATTTCTACTGCAGAACATTTTCCCTAACATCCTCAGGCAATTTTGGAAGTGATCGACAGCCTGTTTGGGTCACTATGACTTCACTCCCCAGGCATTTAGGCAATGCCCTCATCCAGAGTAACACAGTTTGTGTGTAAAAGATTCTGAATTTGAAGAACACGACTGCATAATTAGGACCAGATACTCTCTGTATCCACTCTTGCACAACTGTCTTTACCTACCTTTACATCAATGTCTCGGTTGCTGCCCTGATGCATGTTGAAGTGGACGATCTCTGGACTGAGGCCTGTCTCCATCTGGACGTACATCTGGTAGCAGGTCTCCATCAGTTGTTTGGCCAAATCCATGTGATCAGCGGGCAGGCCATGGTGGGCACCGAGAGCCAGAGTCCCTGGCAGGAAACACACCAGATGGTCCTGAAAAAAATCCAGTGTCCACAAAAACAGAGTTAACAGACAGCTGTATTAAAGGGCCACTGTGTAAAATGGGTTGAAAACCGTTGAAAACAGTGACATCAGTGGTCAAATTCTAGATTGCAGGGCTCACTCACTCACCCTTCTCGTCGGGTAAATGACGGTGGCCTTGTAGGGACAAAAAGCCTTGCGCAGACATGAGTTTTTCAGGAGTAGGTCTATCTAGCGACAAGGTGAATGTTTATTTAGAAATCTAAACCATGTTACGATATTGTAATGAATCCCTCACGAGCAGGAGACCAGAGGAGCGTTCGGGAAAAAGGCCAGTTTATTTGAGCACTCCAAAAACTCCGGTAACACTCCAGGGTAGGGTTGGGTCTGTATGAGAAAAAAAGAAAAAAAAAAAAAAAAAANNAAAAAAAACGGTCTGGTTTTTGTAAAAAAAAAAAAAAAACGCATCAAGTTGGTAATACCAGATTTTCGCCACTTGGGGGCGCAATTGACTCATTTAAAATAAAAAACAACCTTAGGACAACAGAGTGACAGTAACACATTGTTTCTTTCATTCCTTACAAATAAATTTTGCAACTTACTCAATCAGTGGAAACAAGGGTTGCCTCCTTCATCTGGCTCAAAGCCAAAATGTTGCCATAATGGGGCATTCTTTGATTTCTTTGAGACTAAACTGTCCACCATTATCGACTCCCCGTCACTATTTAACAAACTCCAGGCTACAGTAGAGGCCTTGGCGCATGTGCACTCACACCCCCCTAGCTCAGTCCCCGCCCCACCCCCACCCTCCTCTCTCTCCTGCTCGCTGTGCGCTTGGCGAAGAGGCAGACACAGGTGCTCACAGACTCAGGCGTACTATAAGCGGAGCGGGCTCCGTGTAAAAATGTCCATGAAAAATCCCTGCGATGTGAAAAATACATGCCGAACAGTCTTTTGTGTAACACTGGTGCACGGAGCGGAGTCCGCGCGGTCGTGCTTTGCGCGCACAGGGCTTGCGGACGTCCACTTTTACCAGGCGGTCCTCTGCGGTGTCTGCTCCGCGTACGTTCTGCCCGAGTATGCGGTCTGGTCGGTCTCAAAAAAAAAAAAAACCCGGTCCAAGACTTATTACCGAGCCGAATTGGTATCACCGACCCAACCGACTCCAGGGGGTAAAAGACTCCGTCCCAAACTCTGACTCTTCTGGCGTAACACACACACTCCATACACACATTCTCGAAACGATACCTAGCGGACACCCCCTCCCCTCTCTGCTCCACCAATCTCCAGCCCGCACACTGACTGACAGCGTAGCCTGTAAACAGAGCTCAGCTGTTTATTTAGCCTAGCAATATCTCTGGACTATAGTAGCTGCAATGGACGACTTTGAACGCGATTTTGAAGAGTTTCTTGTAGCGGACACAGACCCAGAGCCAT